CTTGCCACTGTTATCGACTTTCCTGTAATTGTTTGGAGACTTTCTTCTTGTTTCCTTTCTTGTTCCAGTTGCCACTGCTGTTGTCTCTCTTCTTGTTTCTTTTCTTTTTCCTCCAACAACTGCTGTAATCTCTCTTCTTGTTTATTTTGCTGTTCGAGCTGCCACTGTTGCAGGTTTTCTTCCAACTGCTGTTGTCTCTCTTCTTGTTTCTTTTCTCGTTCTTCTTGTTTCTTTTGCTATTCTTGTATTGCTGCCATCAAATCTGCTAAGCTGTAGTTTGATTTGCCACCTCTTCTTCTTCTTTTCTTTCCTGTCCCACTCTCTGACACCAATTTGTTACGTCTCTGCTCGTTTGTTAATTTCCCGTAGAAATTCTTCCCGAGAAACTTCAGCGATACAAGTCCTTTCTTAAATAAAACTAGTTTATTCTTTCTCAATTCAACTTTGCAATACACTTAATTTCCACAGTCACCTTAACTTAAACACACGCTATAATTCACCACGATTCACGCACTTTACTACCGCACTTGACTCAATTGTCCATATCTGTCTCTGCAATTCGAATTCCGATCAATCGTCTCGCTTTATCTGCTGCACTTATAAACAGAAATAGAGGGCGTCTAGCAAATACTGGATTATTCGTGATGTTCCCTGACCTTTCTAGAACTCATTACTTGTTACCAGTCACGTGACTTCCGCTGTCGTAACAATACTTTACATACTTTTACAATCATCTGTTGCTATATGTATAAACCAATTCACTAAATGATTAGTTCTAAAGCTTTTGCTTCTATATTTAACAGTCATATTATACTGTTTCTAGAGCTAGATAGTGTTAATATCACATTTAATGTACTGCTGAAAATTTGTTTATCACATCCAATGTTTATAAATATTGTGCTGATTGTGCTTTTATGATTTGGTACACATTTTAGTATACTTTTCGCATTTATATTTAGTCACATGTTTTACATTTCCTGACGTTTTATATGTAAAACACCTATAATTAATTCATTTATATAATTATTATATGTCATCTATTCATACTGAAAAGGATGCTTATTTAAATCTCTAAGTAATATAGAATAATTTAACACACAAACCTACTCTTTCACATGTTTGTCTTTATAAATTAAACATATCCTTTAACCCTCTATGCATGTAGCTCTGTTTCCATTCATATCTAATTCTAACATCTAGTTAATAAACTCTGTAGTAAGACATTTTGCTACAACTAGATATAATAAATGAACGACTTAATGTTTATCCAATCATTTTACTATTGTAGAAACTATTTAAAATAGCAACACTTACCATTCACTTGAAGTACTATACAAGTCAAATTCATAAAACTTTGTAGTTTTAAAGTTCTTTCTTCTTTAATAAACATTGAGATAAACCTCTGTCTAGCATCAAGACCACTGTTTGTTAAGAAATAAGAAGGTCGTTATGTGGTCACACATACAATCAATATGGGCTATTTCAGCATGTTTTGATGCTTATTATAGAACTATGACATCATCATCTCTAGTGTGTGGCATTATGACATCATCATCTCTATCTCCTTCCTCCTGAGGCTCCCCCTATTGTAAATCATCATGCATCACTTCTCCACTAATAGGAGTGTGACATACGTGACTCCCTCTATACACCTTTACCGAACTGTCACTTCAATGTTTGGCAGAAGCCGTAAGCACTGCAGTAAAGTGAGGAGGATGGGTAGGAAGTACCTATCAGAAGTAAGTTTTCAATATAGGAAAATTATAATTTCCAATATGGTACTTCCCTCTTCCCACAAGATTAGCTAGAATCCCATATTGATTAGGAGGCAGGACTGGTGTGAATGAATGACAGAAGTACTCCCCAAAAACGTCCAAATGATACCCCTGGGAATGAGTCAAATCCAAAGATCTGATGAGGGGAACCACACCAATTCTGAACTAGGTATACTCTTCGCTCATCCGTGAAATGTGTAGTAGATAAAGGACACCCCCTAAGATAAGACAGTCAGATTCTAGGAACTGATGTGGGGAACTGCACCACTTCTGAACCAGTTATACTCTTTGCCCATCAGAAAAAGATGTTGTATATATGAGCAGAAAACAGAGGAGCACCAGCAAGTGGGAGAGAACTATGGCAGGATAGTGAACCTAACCATGTAAATATATATGTAACTCAATCCCACAAAGTATAAAAATGGGTAAAACAAAGGATGTGCCCCTAGGTGTAGAGTGACTAGGGCGTGATGGACCGAACTCAGTAAGTCAACTACATCCAAAACCTGTGACACTGGGAAACAACATCCATGCAGGGGTACAATGAGGATCATATCATCTTCACCTCAAGTTCAAGAGAACAGGGAGAATCTAGAACCACTCCAACTCCTGAGCATGACACGTTACCTTTGATCTATCAATCCAGGGACCCGACATCCAGTATCGAAAGGATGTCTACGTGATATAAATCAACTGCCCCAACAGCAATACTGACCAAACAATCCGAAAAGCAATAACATCCTCGTAATAAGATACAACCTGGGATAGCAAAAATGACAGAACTGGAACAATCTCCTTTACCTCCACTGTGGCCCACAACACAGATGGAGTATTATTGAGGGAGGAATACAGACAACTATAAATATGTGTGAGGACTTATGTTGATTGGTTCTACTCTAAATCCAAAATCTAGCCATGGGGTACTGACATCCACGTGGGGGTAGGATCAGGGCTTCCAATCGAAGGATATTGGAGGATAGCACGTCATCTACACCCGCAGAATACCACTGCCCTAATCTGCACTGAATGGTTATAGCCATCTTTGTGTGGAATCCATTCAGGAGGGTGCCTCCATAGTCAACCACCTCAGCAGCTTGGAACTGGAAAGTGGTGAGAACTCTCATACTCCACTAGAAGAAAGGGGTGAGAAGGTAGTGGAGAGCCCAAAGGAACATCATCACCTGAGACAGTGCAACGTATAACCATGAAACCCTATTTTGAAAAACACACCATACCGATTTATTCAATACAAGGCATGGCAGGGATGGGCAGCTATTCCTTTCTGCTTTACCCATGCAGTACAAAGGTGGTACAGTCCAGAATGGGCAAGTTTATGAAGCAATTACATCACAAGGTTATTCACCTACAAGCTATCTTATGGAACACCTCATCTCAAAAGTGTGTATTGCAAAACCATGGAAGATAAAGCAAGAGTTAACGTGGCTGTACAGTGCAAATTTCAAATTGAATAATACCTGGCCAGGCATCACTCGCCACAGAGTGGGATCCATATAATGAGTAAATGAAGCAAGGGTCCCTAAAAGGAAAATAAAAGTATGAATATAAAATTATCCAGTGAAAGTCACAATGAAGCCTGAAGAACAGCCACAGGTGGAAGACGAAAACCCAATGAAGAAGAAACCATTATATGGTGTAAATAATGTGAGACAAATTTATTAGGTGTATTCCACATGCCCACCTTTAGGATTTCCTCCAATGCCTGACAAAGACAAGAATCGAGGGAAAAGGTGAGGTGTCGAATCTGATAAGAAAATACCTAGAACAAATTCCAGGAGTAAAAGACAAGGAGGAATAAGCCAATTGATTCAAAAGTCAAACCCATTTGGTCAGCGTAGAAGTGGAAAGATCACGAACAGAGGTAGAGAGTCGGAAGTTGATACCAAGGAAGGAAGCTGTGTGGGTAACATAACATAGTAGTCTATCCGAATCAGGACGAAAGTAGAGGTGAGAAATAGAAGGAAGGGAGATAGGCAAAAAGGAGGAGTTATCCTCCCTAGTTGCCGAGGTATATGGGAGGAAGGAACGATCTGGAAGGAAAGATAGGGTAGTAAAGCATACAAATCAGACCTCGACATCCACAGGCTAAGAAGAGAAGGAAATACGTTTTAAGGGAAAGGTGAAACATAGAACCCGAGTAGTGGTTCAAATGGAGGTAAAGTGAGGGAATGGAGGACCACATTAATATACCAGTCTGAAAGTAAATCGTCTGGGGGAAGACAAATCTGGAAGAAACATATTAACATGGTAAGTACAGGGGGAAACAAAAACTCGACGGTATTGGGGAGGAAGGAACAATATCATATATTTGAGAAATGAAATCCAAAGAGACCGTATTAGGCCTAACCAACTCCTCAGGTGGGCATGAGAAGTGGAAATAGGTGCAAGTCCTCGTCTGCCTGAATGAGCTCAGCTTGTTTGAAAAGAAGTGGGGCGAGGTCTGGAGACAGAGGTTGACCCATGTAACATCCAATCTCCTGGTGAATAAACACATAAATCTCCTGCCAGGTCACCTGCACTTGAGGCCCCAAAGTGGTAAAATGAACTTCAGAATTCATAATGAGTAAGAGTCAACCAAGAATCTAAAGTATAAAATAAACTGGAATAAAAGTGAAGTTAAGAAACAGTCTTAATAAAAACTAATTGTGAAAATAAATGAAGAACACTTCGAGAGTATACTAAAGACGAACGTGAAACTGGAAACAAACAAGAAGTGATAGTTCAGTAGAGACATACGAAGGGAGTTACATGCATCACGTATGTCACCTATTGGTGGTGAAGTGACACATGGTGATTTATATGAGAGACATGTTGAAAACATTCGATTCCAATAGGGAGGTGCAGAAGGCTTGTGGCATGCATAAAGAAAATAATTGCATATGGAGAGCAGCACTTGATAAGAATAGTTAATCTTATGAGAGGAGGGAAGTACATATCGGAATATAAGCTTCTCTTGCATACTTATAAGACATTCCTTTCTGATGTAGCTAAGTTATAGTGTAAAGTTTTCTTGAAAGAAAGTTTGGTGCAGTAGTAAACAAAACTTTCTAATTTACTAACTACTCAAAGCCAATTAATAAATCAATAGACATTTGTTCTTATTTAAAGATTGGTAATTTTCACTATTAATGCAGTAAACAACATCTATGTTTTTGTTTGTTTGATATCTGCTTCTGTCCATTTTTCAAACCACTTTGAGTTGGCCAAAGTTGGCACACTTCAGTGAAGAACAAACACAGATATAATGCATTATACTTGAGAAACACAAAAATTAACTATTACCTTACAAGCCAGTCCATTGAATAATAATTAATTGTAAAGTTGTGGTCATGTTATTCAAACAATTGAGTTATTTTAGTTTATTAGTAATAAAGGGACTAACATCAAACTACATAAACTTTTTCACTCAAATTAGCAAAAGAGTTAATGCAATTAAAAACTTAAAAAGATATGATATTCACACATTGGATTCTCTTGGTAAAATTAAAATATGTTACTTATCACCTCAAAAGAAAAAAAATGTTAATATGATACATATCTATAGTTAGTTTACATAAAAATATTTATTGAATTTATACATGTAGAAGTCTTTACTAAATAAAACAATATAATTTATAAGATTATTACACATTCAACTTATGATCAACATTATAGCTATTTTGACATAGCATTTTCACATTATATAGAGCATTATAGCTAATTTAGCAGAGAATTCTACTCATTTATATTCTCTAGATTACGATTCATTTGGTACAAAATTCTACAATTTTAAACATTGACATTATAAACAACATCATAGCTGTTTTGACACACAATTCTACATTCATATTATGTATATTATGGTTGATTTGACAGAGAATTCTATAATATACATTATATACAACATCACATCCACTAAAGTAAATCTTACAGTAAAAATAAAACACTTATCATCGAAATTTTCAAGCCTTCCATTAAATTTCCTTAAATACATGGCATAGACCACATTTGAAGGCAACCATTCCAAAATCAAAACACCCTATAAAAAAAAAAACAAGCTGTCTTAGCTGATAATGACACCTACCCTGCTAAAATTTTATTTGCCTCCCACTCTGATCATTATATATGAAAAGAATGACAACACACTTCATAGTAATTTTACTGCAGAAAGGAAAACTGAAAACATGATTTTTCTACATTACAAGTTCAATTACAGTTGTAACTGTCAATAAATAGACAGCTATACACAAATCCCACTAACAAATACTTTCAACAAAATCATTTCTAAAACCTCGTTCAATTTTTAAATTCTCAAAAAAAAAAATTAGTAAATACATATACCTTAAATAAGCATCATTCTACATACATCACAATTTTCAAAGTAATAATACACTGTCGACATTAAAAGAATAGACAAAACTAACCCAAAAAGTCGATATTAATAAAAGTTCTTTAATTCAGATCTTGAAAACTGAAAGGTTACTAATGTACTACCACACATTAAACCAAGTTCCTAAAGAACAATGTCTTGAAATCATTACATCTTAAAATGAATAAAGTAGGATGTCTCATGTTCAGGAGCAGACTGACCATAACCGTGGTCAGTGCAATCACCAGGCTGATCCGATAGTTTTAACCAAGGGCCAGTCCACCAGGCTATTAATATAAATTGAAAAACAATCTTTAATTACCAAGTCTCTCCAATCCTCTCCCAAGTCCACCCCTGCTCATGTTGAACCTACATAACCTACTATTCATGAATAAAAAGAAGTGGTCTGTTGTTTACCCATAGATACACATTTTCTTCTAAAATAAAGAAAGCATCAAACATATTTAAAACACCTGTTATATAATAAAGTGGTTAATCCCTAAAACTAAGAAGTTTTTGTTCTAAGTTTTTATCTTTTATATGTATTTCGATATTTTCACTTTTTTAAGACTTTTTCCATTGCAAATTGATATTGAATACAACTCATAATGGCATTTTTTGATCAAGACATACTGTAGTGTGTCATATAGCCAAAACAACCGACGGGACACACTGTGTGTTAATAAAAGGAGTGATAGTTTAGCGATGTTCCACTTTCTGTAGCTCGGAACATGGTATTTCACACTATCACATATTTTCAGTATATGCACTCTACTGGACCCTTACTTCACTTGCCAAATTTCAAGACAATCCATAAAGAAATACAAGAGATAAAAAATCTACAATTTTTATTTAATTTTTTCCTTTTTTTTTTCTTTATAACGAAAGAATAGAAAATTTATTTGATAGAAAAACATACTTAACTTTTATGGATTTTTTTTTTAATTTGGTTCACTGATAGATCTTTACAACCTGAAATTAGATTTTAATATAAGCCACAAATGCAAAGTTATTCAACAAAAACTGCTCAAATTTGACTAAAATGTTTGCACACACCTATGCAAAAAGTCACGTGAGCTATTGGTCTAAAATTTATACTGCAGCTTCACCTAAGAGTAAAAGTGGACCATTTTTAATTTTCTATCATTTGGATTAAAGACAGCTGATTTAGAGTAGCAAAATTATAAGGTGAAAGAACGTGGAGATACATAAGTAATGGTTAGGCCAAGCAAACTAGATTAGTAGCTTATACTCAAGGTTTTAAAATAAGCGTACAGGTGGACGATTATTATTAATTATTCATTTCCAACTTTTATGCATAAATTTGCTAAATTTTATGAATTTCTCCCTATTAAAGAGCTTTTAGCATCATGTAATATTAGCTTCAGCAATTTGCATAAATAATTGTGCTTAATACGGCTGTACTGAATGTATACAGGTGATGACGTGAAAGATTCCATTGCATTACTATAAAGGAAGTGGTTAACACTGTTTAAGAGAGGAAAAACTACCACCATATATTTTATAGAATCTGGTTGATTCTGTAAAGTCTAGGTCTGTTCCAGATAATAGGGTTGTGATCCTAAAGCTAATGTTGCTTACTATTGAGTGTCACTTTCTTACTTGTTGTGGTTTGTTGGTGTGTATTGACAAAAAGTCATGATATCTAATCAAAAACACCTTACATGAAAAAAAGGTGCAGCCAAATAAAGATTCAGCATGTCACTGAAAAGAGTGAAATCAAAATTGAAAGCCCAACTGGTAGCTACACATATCGCATTGATAAGAATTTTACAGCAAATATTCATTCGTTGGTTAGCTAGGCATCGTATTCTGTTTTACCCACCATCCTGCCCCAAGTTGAACGAAAAGCGCAGCCTGGCTGACAAATGAACGAACATTTGTTGTAAAATTCTTAATAATGCTATAAGTGTAGATACCAGTTTAGCTGCCAATTTTGATTTCGTTCCTTTAAGTTGTATGCTCAATTCTTTTTTGGCCACATCTTTCTTCACACCCAAGATGTTTTTAATTAGATTTCATACAGAGGGACACAAATAACCTTTTTATATAGAATTAACTATGTATTTCTGAAGTTCTGGCTTGTACAGTTTCTAACTAATTCAAACTTTAGCAATACTGGTACAAAACCTTAACATAAAGTAGTCTTCAGCAAACTAGAACAAATCAAATGTAAAATTCCAATCATACTCTCCAAAATCCAACAGGATATATCAGCCTCCCAAGTTCATCATCTGAAGTTTTCAATACATTATCAATAGTTAGACCATGTGCCCATAACTTCTTCATAGCTGCATGAGTGACCTCATCTTTCGTCTGGCTGGACAGCATCAATGAAACCAGAGTATGAAAATGGGAAACCTGAAAGATAAAATCAAAGGTACAATTATCTCTCCCAAATTTAAATCTATGCATAAGATATATTTTTTAGAGTAATTCAGCAATCCATTTTTTTAAATTGCCCTCTAAAAAAAACTTTCTTTAGTGTCTTTAACCAAATCCAAAAATTTCAAGGACGTATCTAATATTTAAATACAGCATGAAAACTTCTATTATACAGAAATGTAAAAATCCACCAGCGTGATATCCATGAATGTGTTTGTTGACTGGATAACTTGCCCAGAGATTTAATGTTTTCATAGATGCTAAATTAAATCATATTTTCAGTACATCCATACTACTAGTCTATCGTATAAATTTTAAGTCTGTGTCACATATGCTGCAATGAATTCTATCTATTTTATTTTGTAATACTGAAGAAAAAGTAACTGCAATGAATACAGATAGTTACATATTTGCAATGTCTAATAATAAGTATAGTGAAAAAAATATAGTTAGGCTAATAAAATTACAGTTTGAATGAGTACATTTCTTATGGCTAGTAGCCTGGAGCAAGTGCATCAAAAAATAAAACCCCTGATCATAATAAATTTTACATTTAATATCCTAGTTTATAAGCCACTTACTTTCTTACTCATATTTAATTAAGAGTTTAGCACCATTTCATTAAATTAGTATTTAAAAAAATTATGCAATTGTGCAAGAAAATTTCAACTAATACACACTCTAATAAGCAACAAATAGAACTATTTTAAATGCATGGTTTTAAGATTAACACATGGGCATAAATCTTATTTACCTCAGGAGGACTGTCCAAATCTGTACATTTTTCTGCTCCCATGGTATCAACTGGTGCATTCTTTACTTTTCTCATTTCTTTAATGTTTTTTAAAACATCTTTCCAAAATAATGGCTCCCATGATGTTATTGTTTCTTTACTTTTGGGATCACTTTTTAACATAATTTTCTTTTCTTTCTCACCTACGTCTTTTGATGTATTTCCTCCTATGTTTTGTAAACTATACTCAATGCTTAAGTGTTGTCTTTTTCTACGATACTGCTTATCTATATCGTACATTACAGGGTTTTTCACTTCTTTAGTTTCCTGTGTAGAAAGCTTACTAAGCATTTTCTTTTTGGTGCTAGATGTTTTTGTAATTTTATCTGCAGTACTAGCTTCAGTTTCTTTAAAAGGATCACTTGACAAAAAACCTACATTACTACAAGAGTCTTTCTTACTGTTCTTTGCACTTGTATCTGTAACAGACTTTGAAAGTTCTGGTAACATTACAAAGTCTTTACAATCTACATTAGTAAAAATCTCTTTTTGACTCCTTGTCTTCATTTCAAGAGGCTTCAAGAAATCATCAAATATCCCAACAGGAAAATATCTACACATATACTTGCAAAATAGTTTAATTGAGGTTTCCCATTTACTCACAATTCCTGCAAGATAAGAAAAAAATAAAAATTATTATTATATTTTATTACAAACATGACATCTATCTTTGGTGTGAATTTACTAACAAACTGACTGCCTGCATAAGTAAATTATTTATTTACATATTTATCCTGATGGTATACTAAGATCCTGCTCCTGAGAAAGTATATGTACAATTTAAATTTCATCTTTAATGTCCAACCCTTGCATATACTTAACTCTTAATGTCTTATCTCTTTAATTACCCTTGTAACTTTGCAAATCTTTTTACATTTTCCTGACTTGATTCTGTTGGAGTTTTCTTTAACTAGATCACTTATTTTCTTTAAACCAACACTTCAAAAATGAAAGTCTGTTCCATTTTGAGATATGACAGAAAGACATTTTTGAGATTCAGTGACCTTACTCTATTGTTATCTTTTCATTTATACTATTTATTCCTTTCCTATCTTAAAAACTGATGACATGAATTTTTTGTGCAAACAACACAAAATTGGTAAAGCTTGCTCTCCCCATTTCCCCTTTTGTACAACCTGTTTCAGAACAAACGGAAAAGTCTTTCTTCCTTGTCGTGCCTCTATTCCTGCATGTTGCTGCTTTCAAATTTCTGTTTCAGACTCAGTTTCCTCTACTTTTTTCTTTTACTCTTATGACTCTTGTTATTTCAAGGATTAAACAATGTGTTGCCTTTGTTTTTTAAGGAAGAAGTTAAATCAGCATAGAAATAATAAGATTACCACCTGTTATCTATATAATGAAACCATTCCTTATTCGGTAGTAAACTGCAGTGTTCTATTTCAGGTAAGCATGGAAAAAGATTTGTTCTTTATTCCTTTTTGTGTGAATCAGTTTTTATTAAACTTAGTTTCCAACGTGATGAAAATGATGAGGATTATCAAACATCAAAGAAAGTATTCTTTGTATTATAGCGGTTCAGGTTGCAACCATATTGAAGGATGTCCTTGCATACCAGCCCTTGAAAAAAAAAGTCAAAATTTAAGCCCACCCTTCATCATTAATGCCTTTCTTAAACTCTTCTAAAGTGCTGGCTTCAACTACTAGCAATAACAACACATTTCATAAGACAATTATTCTGTTAGAAAAATAAAATTGTCTCAACTGGAGTCTAGTCTGTCTTTACTGAATCTTAAATGTTTGTTCTCTCGTCCTGTTGTCCTCAGAATATAGCACAAAGAAATCAGAGGCCTTCATCCAGACAATAACACCACCCCCAATAATCTCGTAAGATTCAATAAGATCACCTCTTGATTATATTTTCTCATGTGGAAATAAAATGTCTTAACCTTACAGCAAGAATAAAATAATATTTTCATCTCAATAATCACCATACATAAACCCTCCTCTGAACCATTTCCAATAAAACAATAATTTTCTTCTTTATGTTTTCAATCAGCCAATTAGGTTTGATCCTCTGTTAACTTTTCCTTCTTTTTTTATGCCTATCATGAATTAAAAGTAATTTAATTTTAAACATTTCCCACATCCTTTTAACTCAATATTATTATTCATATTATACTAATTCACTAATAAATCATTTCCTGGCCAATGGCATTCTGAATATCAGGAACTCAAATTTAATTTTTATCTTATTTTTCACTTTCATTGGTGATAATGGTATCAGAACATATAATAATACTGAAAATTATGTTTTATTTGATGTAAATTGTAATGTCTTGGCAAATTTACATAAACTGTAGTACATAATTCATCTGTCATTGCATTACAATTTACACATACAACCAAACCTTTCAAAAACTTTAAAAAGATGCAAACCATGCCACTTTACAGTCTTCAGGTTGGACTACGTTAGAATTAGACACCTCAATAGGAATGTCCAGTACAACTACAAACGCAACTTGAAGGATATGATAAATACTATTAATTTTTCTAATTTAGTATAGCTCTAGTATATAATATAACTAATAGAATCTGTCACACCTGGTAATTTGTCATTTGAAGGAATGACTTCTACTAACTATTGCCTACTAATCATAATAGTATAATACTTTAATACTAATAGTACTAATACTACCTGTTACTGTAATGCAAGTAGGAATGTGTTTTACTCAACTATGTTAACAACAATTAATATCATCGAGGAATATATACACAAATTAGCACAGTTCTAACTAACCCAGTATTTTAAAAAGAGAACATTATGAAAAGCACATAAAATAGACATATCTCATTGATCATAAACAACCTCGAAATTTTACCTTTACGAGCTAAGCTGCCTAAGCTTGACATAAATGTACTCGGTCTAAGAAACACAACATTCACAAACGTGCACTACCAAGAAAAGAAAATTCATTTCTTTATACACAGTAAAAAATATAATTTAAAATATGAGAGTGTTACAGAAATTTTACAATATTTTCCAATGTTTTATTTTCGTTTCCGTCACAGGTAAAATTATTTGCTTCCCGAATGAAATAGAACACGACTTTTAAGTTTTTAATATGTTATTTTATATTATCATACTCATTTTCTGAATAATTTCTACAAGAAAGGATGGATAGGTGGTGTGATTGTTTAGAATACTGTGTTAGTAATATATAAATATATATATACATCAGAGACGTCGCTAGGTGCTTAAAAGATTCATGGCTCGTGCCTATAGGCGTTTCAGTATGATATTGAATATGATATTCTATCCTGTTTTTCAACACCACACTGGGGATTCGGGGCACTATTAAATAGAATCGGGGCATGGACCCCGTGTGCCAGCGCTTAGCAAAGCCTCTGATATACATTAATTAAAAATAGTTTTATAAAATAAAATGATTCTAAATTAATAAATGTCTAATAATTGGTATTTTAAAATTTGATATGTTATATGAGAAAACTTATGAACTTAAATGTTTCGGGTTCTATGTAAAGTTAAGCCTTTTGTGTTCAATTCACCTTTGCAAAGAACTTGTATATGAACTTATTGATAAATTCTCGTTAATATCCATATAGTGTATATATTCTGTATCATTTTTCCAGAAGATATCTATTTTACTACTGAATTATTTCACTGATTAGGTGTTTACTACAAAGTCTTGAGACGAGGAATCCCATTGAATTTTAACACTCTCAAAATTTATGCCGCAGACGACAAAAAACAAAATACAAAAGATGCAATATTAATACTTCCATTAGGACACTAGACTTTCTTTAGCTACTTGACTCGTGAATTGATTCACTCACTTTTTTCCCTGAAAACATTTTTCTGTCAACCAACTCTCTTGACATTCAAATTCGGTGATATTCCTTGTATTAGTGCTTACATCATTTCTTATTTGACAAGAAGCTTCGGATTTATCCATAGTGACTAGCAGTACCAACTTGACTAGTTATTTTTATTGCACATAGAGGAGACTTTCACCTTTAGATATCACCTGTTCCACCAATAAAGAACACTGCCGTTGTTTATTTTCTTGAAGAAATGCAGCAGTACACATAATATTCTCTGAGAACGAAGCAGGTATTATCTCTAAGGAACAATAAAGGAAAAGGTGCAGCTAGAACCAAGTCAACTTTCTGGACTTTGTATTATGTGGAAATTGTAAAGATTTAGAATAACGAATATTTTCCAATTATTTATATTAGAATGAAAAGACAGAAAGTGCATGGTATGCCTGTATACGACAACAATATGTTCTCAAATATTGTCGATATTGTTTTTCCTTTTTTGTAAAATTTGACATCCTCGTATTACATATTTAGTAATAAAATGATTTACTGCAAATAAATTTGACTTCATACCTTACATTTTATTCAATTCTTTAAAGGAATAATATTATGTTTCTTGTGGAATCATATAATGTTATTGCTACAGGTTTCCAGGACATCTTCAAAAGGTAGTAACTAAGAACAGCAATGTAGGAGGAAGTTGCCAAGTGGGAGTGATTGGTTAGACATGCAGATTTTACGATGAGAAATTGAATGTTTAAGGAGCTGCTAAAAGCAACTTCCATGTTGCCAAAGGCATTTCAATCTAGGGGGTCTGGGGGCATGTCCCGAGAAAATTAATATAATAATATAACTAACAGTTGCCCCATAAGTCATATATGTAAAAGTGGGGGGGGGGGTGCTAGCTCTGACTGAAAGTAAAAGCATGCATTTTATGGGAAACTTGTTAAAAATAAAGATGATAACAAGAAGAGTAACGTATATCTTTATCGGTCTGATTTGAAAAAGATTACTCTATTGTGGATCATAGTGTCGTTTTGTAAAAAATTAATATCATAATTTAATAAATAAATAGATTACACGACCTTAAATCTCTCAGGCTACAATATTTTCTTCAGCAGTTTTTGTCCTTAATCAGTAATTTTCAGTATTTGTTTAAGCATGTCGCTAGTAACAATTGTACTTTTAAGCTGTACCCGCCTTGTCACACAGGAGTTGGAATACGTAGGAAGAAGGGGTTCGCGTAAGTAGTGGGTTCTGCTATAATGATTTTTTTTAAATGATAACTGTTGTACTTGTCGTGTCCGTTTTAAAATTAAAATTTAACAATTCAAATTAACCGTCGAACTTAAGATAAGCTTTTGTATTGCCGTCCCGCTTATTAATATATATGTATAAAATTAAAAAATAGAATATCGAAAGTGAAACTGAAATTTTCAGTGAAAACGAAAACTGTCTCTTTCAACAAAATTTAAGATCTTATTTACCAAAACCTAAATAAAATAAACCCATTATCGCGTTATCAGCACGTACAGTACACAAAACAAGAACATTAAACTTTTAAAGTACAGAAGATATTAGAGGAAAATGTTGATGTTAAAAGCGTTGGGAATATCCAATTTACCAGACATAATAAAAAAAAAATACGCAGTTTAACAACAAGACGCCTACTACTACTACAGTGAGTACTAGTACTACTATTACTATTAGGCTGAAGTAGCAACTAAGCAAGGAAGATCAAATAGAGGTTAGGTATTGGGTCATTTCAACCACAACGTTCCAAAACCTATTAGTAGTAGTACCACTCACCATCTGCAGCCTGTTGTGGATATGGTAGTCACCTCCCAAAACTATTTAAAAATATGTTAAAAATAGCATTATAGTAGAAATATTTGGTTTGTAAAAAACACTCTAAATTTATGTTTGTTAAACACCCAATCTATACACACTAAACTTAGCATGATTTTAAAATTTTTGTTATTAAAAACCACCCTTGATTTTTAATTACTACATTTTTAAAATACCCAACCTCCACCAGTAGATTACTAGTATTACTAGAACAATATAACAAGAATTACAAAACTATTGTATAGATATGTCATTAATAACTAAATAAGACTGTATTTTGAATAATGCTTGGAAATTACTCTGATTATTGTATTAGCCCATTCTGATCTTGAGTTAAAATGTGTTTTTATATTTACAATATAATTATAAGGTGGAGAAAGGCTGCTATCACAGTACTAAGACAGCAAAATGTAATTGTTATGTGCAAACAACAAATGTTACAAATGCTTTTTGTTTCATTTTGTGGTTAATTTGTATAGAACAAAATTGTACACCAATAAATTGGATGATACTAAATGCAATGTTTGAGTAGTAAAGGTAATAATAATAATAATCAAACTAATTATTTAAAGAATGTGCAAAATTATAGTGACAAAATTTTCACTATCAAGTTTTCTGTTGATTAGTGCTATGAGTATGACTCAAGATTGCCCTCCTGCTGTAAGCTGTGATTTTTATAGTATGCTTTGATTGTGTGTAATAAAACTAACAGTATTTTTACTCTGTTCTACACTTTTGAGAAATGCTTTTAAAAGTATTTTTGGATTGCATGTATACTATGCGAAGAAAATAGTCTATTCTTTGAAAACGAAAGGTGGAAGACTTTCAAAACATCGTCCTCTTCACTTGTGTTTCTACAGCAGGCAGTTGCCATCCATTCAACCAAGTTTCATTGAAAATAGTCTAATTTATTGAATTTTTCACGATTTTTTACTTGCTTTGTAAGCCAACAATTTATGTTATTATGCTTTTCTAAAAAAGCACAGTGCTGGGTGATGCATGGTAAGTTTTGAAAAACATATGAAAGACTTTTTCCTTAAAAGAAAAGAATGCTGTTTTGTTTTCTCTATATGTATCAAAAGGCTGTACACAATTAGGATGGCTCTGATACTTTATTATACTGTTGCAAAGAAATTAACATGCATTTTTATGTGTATTTTATTAAGCATGTCTTTTGTTAGCTATTAAAAACAGAAGAAGTCTGATACCCATTCAGTTTTTCTTAAAAGCAACTGAATATAAAAATTAATACATTTTTTAAACAAATTATCAGAAACTGTAAAATAACTTCAGTGTGGAATTTCCAATTTTTTTTTATAGACCCAACAAAGTCTAGGATGATTATGGTAGTTGAGATTCTGGATTATTTTTCTGACTGTCCTTCTTTATATTGTGTAATTCTAAACATTTCATTATTTCATGCACACTAAGCTATTTTTTTATGTGAACTTTGTAAACCCTCAACACTTTCAAAAGAAGGAATTTTTGAATTATCACTTTCACGCAACATGATTATTAACAAATTCTTGGGTAAAATCTATACTGTGAGGCAACCTTACAAGTCACTATTTATGGAGACAATCTCTTATTTCACTTTTCTGTTAGTTTGACAAAACTCAGACTTGTTGGTTTTTCTGTATAAAAAAAGTATACATATTGCATGTACCTTTACAGCAAAGAAAATGGAGAATTGTGTGCTCACAAAGT